CCTCCAGCAGCAGCAGCTGTCCGTCGACCGACAACAAACAGAGATGCAAACGTCGTTACGCAGACCCACACGGTGGCGCCACCAAGCCAGAACAGCTCTGTCGTTAGCGGCGACGACCCCGATAAAGAGGGCACGCGCGCAGAGGGGTGTGTCTCGAGCGGAAGCATGGTAACCAACGGTTGCGGCACGTGAAATTAACCCAAGAACCGCGAGATCCGTACGTAACGGATTGCTCGAGCGAAATGCCAAGCGACCTTTATAGGCAGGTGACCGCTCTACGGAGGCGGCTTCACCTGAGAAACTGTGTCACCAAAGGAAACTGCGCGTCCTTTACAGGCAGGCGTCTGTTCTGTAGAGACGTGGGACGCCGACGCAGGTTTCGTTACTTCGACGTGCGTACAAATCCTGTGTTTTTTCATCATTCATATTCATTCGCGATTCGTTGTTCGTAACCGGACGCGACTAGCATACGTGAACCGTCATGGCGGTGCGTGGTGCGCGGCATGACGCGACGCGCGGAGTCACGGTGGAGTTAACAGGGTCATTACGTCTTTCCAGAGAGTCGCAGCGTAGGGCAGCGCATGAAGTCCACTCCACAGACGCTTGTGCATCTAACGAAAAACGAAACGAAAAAGAAACCACACATCTGTATACGCGGAGAGAACGAGAGAACGAGAGAGAGAGATGCAGAGTTGAGTCAGATAGCATGTCACGATGATTAATGTTGTTTTGCATAAAATACTTGCTCCCCCCTCTCTCCCAATATCTCCACTCTCGCTCTGTCTCTCTCTCTCTCTTTTCCCTTCTCTCTTCCCATATCCAACCTTCTTTATTTTCTTCCCTCTTCTCTTTACCCCCACAAGTGTATTGGGAATAAAGAAACAAGAGACAGATTATAGCCTACACCAGAACGTAAACATACAAGCTAGGCTAGTTCTACATTTAAATGAAATGAGAGACAGGGAGTGCTAAACCACAGTACCTCGGGCCAGTTTCCCTCCTTATGAGCAATGTAGATGGCACTGAAAAAACAAGAGTACAGCATCACGCGCCTTTGCCAACAATTTTACCCGCACTTACGAATGCAGAGGAACCCCAACTGATATCCCTAGCAATTTTATCGACATGGTAAGAGTGTTGTCGATACACTCCCTGGGATAATCTTTATTTCGTTATTCTTTTAGAAGTTCACAATGCAACAAAACATTTATCGGACAGAACATCAATGTTTATTATTCTCCTATAACAAGATTCTCACGTTATTACCGATAAAAAAAATTTTCCATCCCGACTTGTGGTCGCGTAAAGGATCGGTGTGGAACAATGTTAGTGAGTGGGGGAAGGATGTGTCATTGTCGGCAGCTGCTGGGCAGGGAGAGGAAGGGTGGTCAAATGTGGTTAAGTTAGGGCAGGGGGGAAGGGTCATGTGAGATCATGTTAGGGTGGGGGTGGGAGGGGGCGTGTGCGACCACGTTAATAAGGGGGATTCATGTGTAAGCAGGTTTGGGCTGGGGGGGTTGAGCACGTTAGAGAGGAGTCAGGGAGGTCACGTTAGGTCAGGGGGTCGTGTGTGATCACGTTAGAGAGGAAGGAGTCAGGGAGGTCACGTTAGGTCAGGGAGTCGTCTGTGAGCACGTTAGAGAGGAGTCAGGGAGGTCACGTTAGGTCAGGGAGTCGTGTGTGATCACGTTAGAGAGGAGTCAGGGAGGTCACGTTAGGGCGGGGGGTCGTGTGTGATCACGTTAGAGAGGAGTCAGGGAGGTCACGTTAGGTCGTGTGGGATAACGTTAGGGCGCGCACGGGGGAAGGGTCGTACGTACACTTTCACTAGCTTCAGACAGGCTGGGTTAGAGCCGAGCGCAGCACTGCACAGGTGGGTGGCAGTTCTCGCTCTCTCCTCCATCGCTCGCTGTACAGACCTGCAGACAGAGGAAGCAACAACGACCGGTGCATGTGCGTGCGTGCGTGCGTGACTACGCGCGCGCCAACGCACACGCAAAAATGCAGCGGACTTCCTGCCAAAACATCCCCCACGCTCGCTCGAGTGTGTGCGCAGGGGGTGGCTTCCTGTTGCTATGGCGGGAGGAAGAGAAGAGCTGCCGGTGCAGCAGCACCAGCAGCTGTGAAGCCGGTTTTACACACCCACGCACGGACGAGGGGGCTCGCACGAATACGTTAGAGGACGAATTAGAGGTCGAAATCATAAAGCTATATAGTAATATATATATATATATATATATATGTGTATGTATTTTCTATTTATTTATTATTTAAATTTTATTATAAATAACGTATTTTTATTATAATAATTTGATACTTTATTTTCTATTTATTATTACTAGCATAATTATAATTATTAATGAATGACCAAGCCCTTGAGGAGACGTAGACTGTGAGATGATGTTAGAGTGCGTACCTGACGGCTAGCGTTGCATTGTTTGGCATCATCTCCATGAACTTGCTGTACGCTGCTGCCACCTGGTGTTCGGGAAGACCACGAATGAACAAGTCGACGACTTGGTTGTGAAAGCCGTAGTTTGTCCAATACCTGGACGGACTGTCCAGACAACGAGAGGAAAATTTACTTGTCATTGTGGCACAGCGTTACAGGGACAGTGACGTTTGACGACTGTCGCAAAAGCTGCTGACGTGTTATGTCGTAGTGTTGAACAAGGGGGTTGTTAACTTCTCACCGGGCTAGTTTCTAAGTACACGGGCCAAAAAAAGTCGACGCCATAATAACATAAATTGTTAGCATTGTTTGAACTTACGGTAGCCATTTTAGGTTTTCATAAATTTCGATAAAAACGAGTGATGTACACTACAGCAGCCGTCACAGTATCCGTACATACAAACCTCAAGCTCAGCGCCAACACGAAAACGTAAATTCACGAGATTGCTAAATTGAAAATAAGTGATTAAAAGGAGAAAACCGAGGCGACTGAACCATCTGTGTTGACCCGTCTAACCACGCGCAGATGCTAGATAGGTTATAATGCTATAAGTTATAATGCTAGATAAGTTATAATGCTATAAGTTATAATGCTAGATAAGTTATAATGCTATAAGTTATAATGCTAGATAAGTTATAATGCTAGATAAGTTTAGTCCACACCTCTCATAAGAAAAACAGCGCTACTTATCAGAATGCCGTTGTCGGGTTTCTCGCATTTCCATGCCGATGCTACTCACGTGAACGGAAGAGGGAAGCTGGTGGGAACCGACATTAGACATCTGTGCACCAGATCGCAGAGTCGAGCAAAAGACTTGAGGGTCAAAGGTCGAGCTTCGGCAGCCGTCGCTTGCTTGAGGACGTAGGAGAGGTAGCTGTAATGTAACGCACAAGCGCGGCAGGAGAGCAGAGAGAGTAGAGGACGAGAGAGGAGAGAGAGAGAGAGAGAGAGAGAGAGAGAGAGAGAGGCGGAGAGAGAGACAGAGAGAGAGGGAGAGAGAGAGAGAAAGAGAAGCGAGAGAGAAAGTAGAGAGAGAGCGACGAGGAGAGAGAGAGAGGAGAGAGAGAGAGAGAGAGAAGAGAGAGAGAGTTAGAATGATACACTTGTCCCACATTACTGCCCACACACCACCCACAAAAACCTATAGGGGCGCATTGTAGCCAGAGAGAATCAGTATTATTATTATTATTTATTATGACTATTATATTTATATTAATTATTATTTTTATTTTTATTAAATTTATTATAATGTGTTCAACATTAGTCTAACACTGTCGTAGGAATGCTGTTACTTCACCACTACTCGCCCCCTGCTTCAGTAATTCTCAACAATTTGCGGTTACGCAGACCAGTTGCCAGGAGTCGCTTGAGCACTCCAGTGACCAGGCCAGTGACCACATAGAAATTCCACGTCACGTTCTTTAATGGTGACCCTCCAACCCCTTACCCACTGGGGTGCGTGGGGGAGAGATGTAACCCTCCCACCCACTGGGGTGCGTGGGGAGAGGGTGTAACCCTCCCACCCGCTGGGGTCGTGGGGGAGGGTGTAACCCTCCCACCCACTGGGGTGCGTGGGGGAGAGGTGTAACCCTCCCACCCACTGGGGTGCGTGGGGGAGAGGTGTAACCCTCCCACCCACTGGGGTGCGTGGGGGAGAGGTGTTAACGGCCTCGCGCCACCCAGCTGGGGCTGGCGGCGGGGGAGAGGTGTAACCTTTCCAGCCGCACGTGGGGTGCGTGGGAGAGGTGCTACCGCTTCACCCGCACTGGGGTGCGGCGGGGAGAGGGTGTACCTCCACGCCACGTGGGGTGCGTGGGGAGCAGTGTAACGCCTCCCATCCACTGGGCGTGGTGGGGGAGAGGTGTACCCTCCCACCCACTGGGCGTGGCTGGGGTGGGAGTAGGTGTAAGCGCCATCTCACCACTGGGGTGGCATCGGGGCGGAGAGGTATAACCTCCACCCACTGGGGTGCGCTGGGTGGGAGAGGTGTAACCCTCCCACCCACTGGGGAGCTGCGTGGGGGAGAGGTGTAACCCTCCCACCCACTGGGGTGCGTGGGGGAGAGGTATAACCCTCCCACCCACTGGGGCGTGTGGGGGGAGGTGTAACCCTCCCACCCACTTGGAGTGTCTGGGGGAGGGGTGAAACCCTTCCACCCACGGGGGGTATACGTGGGGGAGAGGTGTAACCCTCCCACCCACTTGGAGTGTCTGGGGGAGGGGTTGAAACGCCTTGGCCAACCACGGTGTATCGCTGGGGGGAGAGGTGTAACCCTCCCACCCACTTGGAGTGTCTGGGGGAGGAGTGCAACCCTCCCACCCACGGGGGGTGTACGTGGGGGAGGGGTGTAACCCCTTGCAGGATGTACAGGGAGGGGGCAGCATGAGGCAGGGGACTCTGTCGCTACTCACTGCATCCACGTGACCTGCACGGCGTCGGTGGAGGCGGCGGCGGAGAGGGCAGACTCGTAAGCTTCCCGCACTTCTCTCTCCTTCCCCTCGACGTCGAGTAGCAGGCTGCGGAGACAACAACGACAACGCGCGTGGTGAAGGACTGACCGCTCGCGCACCACATGATGGGGGGGGGATATAGTGTGTGGCATAGGGTGTGTGATGGGTGTGGTACAGTACGTGATAGGGGGTGATATAGTGTGTGGCATAGGGTGTGTGATGGGTGTGGTACAGTACGTGATAGGGGGTGATAGGGGTGATATAGTGTGTGGCATAGGGTGTGTGATGGGTGTGGTACAGTACGTGATAGGGGGGTGATATAGTGTGTGGCATTAGGATGGTGTGATGGGTGTGGTAGACAGCGTACGTGATAGGGGGTGATATAGTGTGTGGCATAGGGTGTGTGATGGGTGTGGTACGGTACGTAGTAGGGGGTGATATAGTGTGTGGCATAGGGTGTGTGATGGGTGTGGTACGGTACGTGATAGGGGGGTGATATAGTGCGTCGCATGGGGTGTGATATACAGATATAGAAAGTAGAGCTGTTGCCACCTTTCTGCCAATCTCTTTAACATCAACAACGACAACAACGATGACGTGAAGGATCGTGATGAAAATGCACCCACAACCACAGACCTGTCTACAGATCTCTCCACATGTACATCTCTACACACTCTACACATCACGTCCAATAAATCATTTAAGAAAAAAACCCACGTCGCAAACACGACAACGACTAGATGTAGAGATACGTAACGATAAACAAACGAGTGAACGAGCATGGGTGAGAGCAGACGTGAGAGGCCTGCCACACCTGCATGCGTACCTGTAATTAAGCCACAGGTAAAGCCGCTGGGAAGCGATCGTCTCTTTACTGTCCGTTGCCGACGACTCGCGTGGAACAAGACTAGTGTGCAGAGAGACGGACTGACCGAGAAGTTTGCTGCAAGAGAGAAAATTTTTATTTTTTATTTTTTTATAATCCTTATCCTAACACCCACACTAAACCTAATCCTAACCCTCACATTATGCCTAACTCTAACACTCACTAGACCCAACCCTAACCTCACATTAAGCCTAACCCTAAAACTCACATTAAACCTAATCCTTACACTCACACTACACCTAATCCTAACCCTAACACTCACTAGACCCAAAACTAATCTCACATTAAGCCTAACGATAACCTTACATTAAACTTAACCAGAACCCATCCATAAATTTAACGTAGCTGAATAGGGTGTTGTTAAAAGAAAATTGACACTGACAACACTTGTTTAAAGGAAGCGTTCGCCCTGGCACCCATCTAACTCACTGTTCCGTGAAATTTCTGTTTAAACTGAATCACAACACTTTATTTGCTATTCCTGAATTACAATTTATATTTTAATAAAAATATTAATAAAATAAATTAACATTAGAAAATAAAAATTTGAACGTTAATGTCATTTGGCAAGATCGTGGGCGCGGAGGTGGCGGTGCCACTTACCGGTACATTTCCTCCACACTTGCTTCTCCCGCCGAGAAATACACGCAGACGCACCGCCGGAGGTAGGTTGTTGCGTCTTCCCTGTTGCCCTAGATGCGTGGCGGAGAAGTAAATCAGAGCACATGAGAACACAGCGTAATAACATACTGCCATTCTGTGTTGAAGATACATTCAAGGGGTCATTCACATTTGATGCATTTCAGGGAACCGCATTCGGACATTGTACTATATGTATATATATATAATTATAGTGTTGTATGACAAATCTTAATTAAATTATTATAATTAAAAAACAAACAAAAAAAACACGCACACACAGACAAAGACACATGCACGCACGCACGCACGCCCACACGCACAGCATCAGCATACCTGCGCGATGCAGTTCCTCGCGGCAGCGTGGTAGATGCGCGCGTCGTGCGGGTTCAGCGCGATCGCGTCGTCGTGCACGCGGCGCGCGTCACCAGGGGTCGCCGCGAGTCCCGCCAGCACGAGCCACATGTCGGGCTCACACGGACACGCCTCCAGCATGCGCTGACAGATGCTCCGCGCTGACTTAGTCCTGCAACGACATAGCCGACGACGAATAATGATAACTAATTAATTATAATAATTAATTACTAATAATAATTAACAAGTGTATTTAGAGACTATTGCGTCTTACTATATCGAATCGCGTTCTTTGACGTGACGTTCCCATACAGAATGAACACCTGTATATAAAGGACAAGGCCACTCTTCCCTGCATATTTTTGCCATGTCGGTCAAGCTAGACAAGTTTATACGTCGTTATTAAGCAGACCTCGTTATAAGACTTTATTAGGTGGGAATAATTATAATAGACCGGGGATAAGACGGTTAAAAAAGATTAAAAAATTACCCGATCAAATAAAACAGACGTGCCCTCCGATAGATAAACATGATCGAAACAACCCCCTGACCGCCAACGTTCGCATAGTGTCGCACCCTGCTACTGGCGCCCCCTGCTGGAACCCACCTGTTTCTCGCCATCTCCATCTGAATGAGATTCCTGTATAGAGGGCGCTGCATGCTGAAGCTGGCCGCCTTGTCTTCCCTGATGCTGCAGCTGCGAAACGCTTCCTTGAACAGAGCCAGCAGTGTCTGCGGGGAACTTGTCAACATCCCTGGTTGCCACGGCAACAGGAAGGGCTTCTGTAGGGAAGAGAACAGGGGATTGTCCCGAGGCGCCCGTTAGAAGCTTACAGCATGCATGCGCGCACAGGCATGTGGACACGATTACTCCTTTCTCCAACGATGAGGCGCTATACAGCGAGGGTATGCTTGGTAATAGTGAAAAGTATCACGAAATATCACATAACAGCCCGTACTGTCAACACGACTGCCACAACTGCATACAGTCACGTACTCTTTACTATGTACTACCTGTAAGTTAACCTTGTGAGACAAGAGTCACCTACTCTACTAATTACTTCTTGCAACTTGTCCCCAAAAATTCAATTCCTTTAAATTGCCACATTTAATTCTCTTGAAAATTCTAAATTTAAATGCTACCATTAAAGTTTGCATTACTGCATACTGCTAGTATTCTATTTCTTCTTACTTCTTACTAAACTAGGCCTTTCATTATAGGGTGTAGTCGTTTCGTCACTGACCTTTGACACGATCTTGCCCGGGTTGCTGTTTCTGGGATCGAACAGTTGTTCGGGTAGTGACTTCATCTCTAGCAGGTGGATGTAGGAGAGCCACAGCAGCACGCGATCCGTCAACACGAGGTGCCTCACCAGCAGGGACTGCCTAACCTTCGACTGCAAAGCCCCCTACGCCGTCGCCAGACACGAGGTTATGTTATAGAAATATATACGTATGTATATACTTATTTATTTATTATTTACTGTGTAATGTATTAGTATTCACGTATGACTCTTATCATGTATCCTGCCATCAGCAGTAGCAGTAGCATCAGAAGCAACAGCAGCATCCTGTCACCCACCCACCACCACTAACACCAGCAGCAGCAGCAGCAGCAGCACCATCACCACCAGCAGCAGCAGCACCATCACCCAGCAAGCAGCAAGCAGCACCAAAGCATCATTGCATCATTCACAGGCAGTCAGGCATCATCAATCAACAGGGCAGGCAGCAGCAGGTGAGTCTCTCACTTACCTGTAGAATGGTGATGGCCGTCAGTGACTTTCCTATCTGCAGGTGAAGCTGCACCCTGTACAGCAGCAGCTCCAGCAGACAGTGAGACCGCTCCTCCATGCTCAGCCGCACGCCCTCTGCTGGTGCCGGCCGGCAACGCTGACGCGCACGATTCTCCTCCTCCATCGCTGCGGCAGTCGCGGGGTTATCCCCTTCCTTCCCCTCCGCCATGCTCTCCTTACCTATGGAGAAATACAGGGGGTTGTCACGTCCTGTTCGTCTCACATCGAGCCGAGTATTGTCCGCTGGCTTATTTAATTTATTAACATATATATTTTCTAGAGCTAATAATGCCTATATAGGAGCTAATATATAGCTTATATATAGTTTACATAGCTAATATATAGCTAATTATTAGATTTTGATATTATATATCATTAAATGATCTTGCATCTATTATTTATTTTAATTTTCTTTCATTACACCTCATTTTATCGATCTGTCTCCACATTCATTCTAATGCAAACTTAAGGATACTGTTAGGGTTGGGAGGTGATTTTCGGTCAAAATTTCAATACCCACTTTATTTGATAGATTGCACCTATGGGCAAAAATGTAGAAATTATGTATGTGGCCCTCCCAAACAGTTCCAAATCCCCGCATTAGTCAATTCTTAACACAGGCTTCCAATCATGGAAAATTTAGAAAAGTGCTAATATCTCCATTGTTAGAAATGCTGAAGTTGCTGATTTTTCAAACGCTATTCAACTCCGATTCCAAATTTTTTTGTTACGTTTCAATTTTGTTAAAATATTATATTTTATAAGTTATGGCTCTTTGTTTATGAAATTGTTGCGTTTTGAAAATCACTACAAATTTTCTTACATCTTTTCAACTTATTTCCTAAATTAAAACATTAAAAAAAAATTACAGGGACACTTTTTTAGTTCATACTATGAACAACTTATGGTTAAAAGTTTAGGTTCCAACTCTGCTGTTTCTGAGAAATAAAAAAAAAAGATTTTTTTTTGTATAAATTCACAATTTTTGACGTCACTTAATTAGCAATGAATTAAAAAAAAATACCAACGAGAGCGTAGAGAGACATCTCTCATGTAATGGATATGAGTTTGATTAAATTTGATGAGCAGTTACGTTGCAATGCCCTTTACAGTGTTACCCGTCCGTCCGTAACCCTAAAGCCCGGCGCACACGTGGCAATTTTTATCAACAGTACCAACGATTCTGTTGCCAGCAACAAAATCGCCGAGAAATCGCCACGTGTGCGCTGCCCGGCGTCACCGAATTTGACGCCAGAAACTCGTCGCTGGAATATCAAACATGTTTGATATTTGTTGCCCAGTCGCTGAACAATCGCTACGTGTGCGCCGCACTGGCGATGGATCCCGGCAACAGTTTTTGGATTAACCAAT